GAGTAAAGTTAGTAAATAAATAGAAAAAAGTTATATTTTATTATGTAGAGAAGGGTTAAAAATATAATAATATGAATAATATTAATTAAGTTAATGTGACATTAACATTAACAAAACACCAAAAAGAACTTTGTTATTAGTTTGTAAGCATGGATGGGCCTGTCTTGTCTACAGGCAGGGGTAAATTTTAAATTCTAGTTTGTTTGAGAATGGTTATAGTTAGATGTATACTGAGTTTGAAGTATCCTTTATATTCTTTAATTTAAATAAAATCTTAATTTTGTTGTTTAAAAAAATAATGAACTTTGCTGGTGTACATCCTTTGAGATTATATAACAATTTATACACAAATAAACATTTCTTAGTTATTTTCCAAATTATATTCTTCTTAAATTCCCTTTTTTTTTTTTTTTTTGTAGAAGGACTATAATTGATATATTATTCAGTTTAATATATTATACAACACGTTTGTTAAGAAATTATTATTTTTAAATTTGAATTTAAGGTAAGAAAACTATTAATTGTAAATTTTAATAATTAAACTAATAGGTGTATTGAATTAAAAAATGTACCTATTATTTTCGTTTATAGAAATATATTCTTCTTGTAAATCTTTTTCTTTTCTTTTCTTACAAATATATCCTTCCTCATTCTAAATTATAACTGATTTATTGCAGGGGCACCAATATTGCTATCAGTTAAGGACGAACGTTTGAACGGTTCGGTGAATTTCGTAGGTAAGTGATCAATGTTTTAAAACATGATTTGCCAGTCGATTCGTTTTTAGTATTGGGTCTACTTTAATTAGCTAGTCAAAGAGGTCAATTAAAAAGATTGACATTTTAGTACTTGTTGAATATTTTACTTCTATGTATTAATATTAGCTTATTTTACCTTATTAATTTTATTTTTATAATGAAAAATGAATGATATACAACTAATTCAACTCACTTTTTTAACACTCGTCTTGGTTTTAAATTTGATGCGCATGATGTGCATATAAGGTGGGTTAAGAGATGAGCAAAGGTTGCTTCATTGTGCAACCCAAAATAATATATATATATATAGTTAGGATCCACTTATATATAAGTTATAGTATACTTACATAAAATCTTAATCATTTATCTCTCTACCTTTAATAGTTGAAATCTGTTCACTTTTATCATATTTATCATGAATTTATATGAAAAAGAATAATTATCTTTAATAAATATGATAAAAGTGAACAAATCACAAGCATTGAAAGTGTAGAGAATAGTCAAGATTTTGTATAAATATGATATGTAAAACTTATATTTAAGTGGAATCCTCCTCATATGTGTGTGTGTGTGTATATATATATAGTTTATAACTTACACATAAATTTTACACACTA